TGGGACTGAAGGGTGAAAAAAGGCCTGGAATCTCTGACCATTTTCCATTGCAGTGACAGCAATTATCTAAATTGTTCAGTGTGTTAAAATTGAAAGTGCTATTTTCAGGCCATTGAGACTTATTATCTAGTTTATGTTGTGGCCAAACAGTGTTACAAAATAAAGTGAGGTGGTTGGGCATGATCTCCCCCGCGACTGTGCAGAGGGAGTGTGGTGTGGCCCACGAGACAGGAAGGGTGAGTGACAGACCACAAATCCAAAGGTGACTGTTTAGGGCAGGCGTCCCTGCTGCTAAACAAATCACCATTAGAAATGAGAGGTGACCCTCTGGACTGGGCATCCCCAATCCAGAAGGACCCAAAGCCAAACGGCTGAGGAATCTTCTGGCCTAGTGCTAGGACTTTCAAGATGAGAGACTTCCAAGAAGTCAGTGAGAGAGAGTGGGCAGAAGACCCGAGACGAGGGGAATTGTGGAACGTCACTCACCTAGAGAAGATTGGCCGGTGTGGGATGGAAGGTCAGCAATGGAGGAGAGATTCCAGGTCCGGTGTCCTCCTTGGCTGGCTGGAGGGGACCCATAAGGGAGGGAGACCTGATCGAGGCTGGCAATCGAGTCACCCGAGTAGGATTTGGAGGTAAGCCCAGGACGAGCTGCCGCTGCCTATTGCTCTCCGAGTAGCAAACTTGGGGTGACTGAAGCCAGGATGATGGCTCCTCTCCCCATGGAACCCTCCCGGGTTTCTGGCACCAAATGTTAGATTGCCGAAGGAGGAACGCACGAGACCAGAGTGGTGAAGGATCACAAATTTATTCAATCACCCGCACACCAGGTGGCTGATCCTGGATGGCTCCAGCACCCAGTAACTGGAGTCAGCAGCTTTTAAAGGACTTTTGGCAGGCTTTTTTCTGGGTGGAGACTTCTTTATGCATACCCAGAGGGGAGATAATAGAATGTGGTCACCACAAGTGAAATGTGGTCTCAGCAAAGGGAATGTCCATAGTGAAATGACCTGAAAAGCCAGTTCGCGGGGGAGGGGTATCAGTTCAATTGCTTGATCAAACCTAACACCCATATAACAGTATCCTTGAGAATACCCATCACTGTACACTGCAGCAGGTGAGGGCAGAAGCAAGGGCATCAGCTAGGAAACTATTCCAATTATCCAGGGAGAATGTGATGGGTGCTCTAACTGTAGTTTTAGATAGGGAGAGAAATGGTTGGATTCTGGATATATTTTGAAAGTAGTTGGAGCTGTTGGAGCTGTTGATGGATTCAAAATAAGACATGAGATAAAAGGAGGATGTAAGGTTTGTGACTTCACCCATCTGAAAGAGCAAAATTGCCACAACGAAGATGGGGAAAAACAGGAGTTTGCATTTGGATGTGTTCAATGTGACATGCCTACTGGACATCTAAGTAGATAAGACAGTAGTCTATTTATATCCAGAGTTCAGAGAAGTTCTGGCTGGAGACTCAAAGTTTGCAGTCATCAGGATATAGAGAGTATTCAAGAAATCACTTGGAGTGAATCTAGAGAAGAGGCCCCAGGGCAAAGTCCTGGGCGTGTCAATATTAGAGGCAAGGTGAGGAGGCATAAGCAAAGGGGACTGAGAAGGGATCACCAGTGAGCTGAGAGGAGAAGAGAGAATAGGGTTCTGGAAGTAAAGTTGAGGTGTGTCAAGAAAGAGAGAAGAGTGGCTAGATAAATATTGCAGACAGGTCGGCTAAGACATGAGCATGGCTGTTAATGTGTATGTTAATTTCAATACCAGTCATGTTTGTACTTTGCATGAGTGCCCAAAGTAATATCTCCCGGCCCCACCTCCTTAAGTGAAATAAGTTGTCTTTTTCCATAGGTGCCCTCTACAAACATTGGCATGACTCCATGGGAGGCCCATGTGTATCTTCAATTCAGTCCTGGTCCTCTCAGAAACCCATGGGCAGAACAAAAAACTCAGAGGCTGAATTCCCAACTACAGGCCTCAATGCTAGTTTTGCAGAGGTCCTCAAAAAAATCTTTCAAGATCTGTGAAGGCACACAGTCCCTCTTCAAGTCTGAGAGAGAGGTGTGTTCTCTTTCTGTGTTATGCGCAGATGAGCAAAGCAATCCAGCCTCCCAGAGCTCTTCAGGGAAATTCTTTCAGTTCTAAGTGCTGTGTCTCTTCTCTCTTCTCTCTTCTCTCTTCTCTCTTCTCTCTTCTCTCTTCTCTCTTCTCTCTTCTCTCTTCTCTCTTCTCTCTTCTCTCGTCTCTCGTCTCTCTTCTCCTCTCTCTCTCTTTCTATCAAGGTTTATCCCAGTATCAGGAACCCACAAAAGATTCCCCCCCTTTATTCATTCTATAGTTTGGCCTGCCTCTGTCCTCCAGCCCAACAATAATTCTTAAATCTCGGGGCAGGTGCGGGGGGGAGGTCGCACATGTAAAATTTCCAGTGTCCCCAGCGGGTATCCTTACCCAATTTTTAAAAGAGTGGAAGCACAGTACAGAACTGAAGGGGAGGGGTGCTGGCCAACTTTATCCTTCAGCAGCATCAGATCCCCAAATGCAAATGAAATGTGAGGAACTCAGTGGCCCCTAACAGCAATATTTAAGCCCCAGCTGAAATGTTCTATTAACAAAACTTGCAGAATATGTTTTATCTCTTCAAGTAAGGTCAAAACTTACCTATCCCCCCTCTCTGCAACACTACAGCAAGAAAGAATATTAAAAACAGAATTAAAATATCTAATGAAAAGATTAATTTAAGATATTCTTTGATAATGACAACTTACTTCATAAGATACAAAAGTGACTAAATTCCAAACCAAAGAAATTTGAAAGCAAAAGTAATGTTTTACAACAACTAGCATTTTGATTGCAGAATCAGCAAAAGCAAGTTTCACCTGTCACTAATTTCCTATGAATTCAGAGTCCACTGCATTCCTGGGAAGGGTGGTTAGTGTTTGGCAACTGTGTGTGTGTGTGTGTGTGTGTGTGTGTGTGTGTGTGTGTGTATGTGTAAGGATCCCAAAATATAACTGAAAAGTTAATCAAAGGGCTGAGAGTGGGCACAAGAATCAAAAGCATGCTATGTAAAATACCAGAGTACAAGAAGGCTCCTGCTGTCTCAGTACCTTACTTTACATATGAAATAATCATGTAAGTCACTAAAATAGCAACTGATGACTTTTGTATACATATGGAGTTTATTACATGCATTCTAAAAATATAACTCATGTGATTTAAATCTAAAGTGGTGATTTTGCAGAAATGGTCTATTTGGTCTTCCAGCTGGTCCACGAATCTCTTATTTTTTTCTGGTATGGACTGAAATTTGCTTATGTCTTCCTCAGAAGAGGGGCCAGTTATTCTCACAATTTTTCTATCACCAACCATAAACAGGTGGTCCTTATGATATTTTGTTTGATTCCTTAAAAGGATGGCCAAACTGAAAAGTTTATTAGCATTGTTCTGAAGTATGTTAATGAAAAGATATATATCAATATGAAATCACTAACATCTCAATTTTTTTCAAACAAATCCAGCATGCTTTTATGATCTATGGTAGCAGATTTTGTGGAGCTGACATACAATGTATTTAGTCATTATTACAACATCACTGGAAGCTCAGAGCACTAAGCCAACTCAATAACCCATATGTGATGCCTCAATTATCTACAGCTTCAATTAAAAGTATTCAGAAGTGTTCTGTCTTGAATTTGTTCAAAATGCATGGCTTAATTCTTAGTGAGTCACCAAAATACAGTACCAAAAGTTAAACATTTGCCCTAACTGGTTTGGCTCAGTGGGTAGAACGTCAGCCTGCGGACTGAAGGGTCCCGGGTTCGATTCCAGTCAAGGGCACGTGCCTGGGTTGCGGGCTTAAACCCCATTAGGGGACATGCAGGAGGCAGCCAATCAATGACTCTCTCTCATCATTGATGTTTCTATCTCTCTCTCCCTCTCCCTTCCTCTCTGAAATCAATAAAGATACTTTAAAAAAAAGTTAAACATTTGAACACTTTTATTAAAATGTTTGTACATACACATAAAATATTCTCTTGATACAAAACTATACAAAGTGTACCAACAACTGACATCATTATAAATGAACGCTCAAATCAATGAGACCTAATCTTGAACACTAAGAAGAAAAAGGAGGAAGAATTTTTTGAGACAACTTGATCGTAGCATATCAACACTTTGTACTGTCAAATATTATGAAGCTTTTTGTACAACGGTGTTCAAATCATTTTTTTTTTTTCAGATTAAGAATATCTTCCGGAGGAATCCTTCCAATTGACGAGAGCATCATGGAAACACACTTGGAGGACATCTGTAGTTATGTGCTTTTATGGCTAGCTTTGTTTAAAATTGTTTTAGGGTTTCTCACACCCCTGCCAATTAAATAAGGTTAGACAGAAAGAACTTCCAAAGACATGTAAACCCAGCTCTCCACGATATGCGATTTTGACACCTCTGCATTGCTGCGCTGTGCACTGAGTCACAAGCAACACAGATCTTACTGGATTAACATTGAACTCCTGCCATCTCCACAAACCCTAGCAGAGTAAAGCTGTCTCCGCAGCTTCTGAACAAACTTGGTCTTTCATTCACCCTCCTCATCCTCCCCATAGCAACTATTAATAAATCCTCCCGCCTTACATTGGGAGATTTCTCTACACCCAGAGAAAGGAGCTCCCTTTTCTCCGGGAGAAACTGATTCCATTATCTTCCTGACAAATGGTCTCCAAAGGGCACTCACTCTGGGCACTCATTGGCGCGCCCACTGCGGAGTTTCCTTCCCATTCCAAACTCCACGCCCTCCAAAGAAAGCCAACTGCTCGGTCTCTTCCCCCCACTTCACACACCCCCAAATCCCCCGCACCCCACCGCACTGCCCGACACGCCTCCTGCGACTCCCGAGTGATCACACAAACATCTCAGGCACCCCTCTTGACCCTGGAGTCTCCAGAGGCCCTGTCCCGGGCGTGGCCCTCCGCCTGGCCCCTCGAACTCACCAACAGGAGGTTGTGCGCCACCAGGTACCCGAGCCGAGCGCTACCCTGGACGCCGGGGGCCAGGCGCCCAGTGGCGTAGCCATGCCAGGCCACCACGTAGGGATTGTCGATAGTGATCCAGTACTTGACCTGGCCGCCAAAGTGGCGGAAGCAGAGCTCGGCGAAATCCCTGAAGTGGTCCGCCAAGGCGCGGTTGGCCCAGCCGCCATAGGCGTCTTGCAGACGCTGGGGCAGGTCCCAATGGTACAGGGTGACCACAGGCTGCACTCCCAGCTCCCTCAGCCGCTCCAGCAGGCGTCGTAGTAGCGCAGCCTTCGCGGTTGGGGGTGCCCGCGCTGCCATTGGGGAGCACTCGCGCCCACGAGATGGAGAAGCGGTAGTGGGTGACCCCGAGCTCACGCAGTCCCCTCCGTGTCGCGAAAAACGTTGTTGTAGCTGTCGCTGGCCACGTCCCCGGTGGCGGGCAAGGACTGTGACAGGGCACCCGACGGCAGACCGGCTACCGGGGGGTCTCCTGGGAGTGTTGGGGGTGAGTGGGTGAACGTGTCCCAGATGGACTCCCCCTTGCCGTGCTGCCGCCAGCCGCCTTCTGTCTGGTAGGCAGCGGTGCCCACAGCCCAGAAGAAGCCGTCGGGGAAGGTGTCATGGAGGAGGCCAGCATCCTCGGGGGCCAGAGGGCGCGCGAAGCGGGCCCAAGTCTGCACACCGTCTCCAGGCTCAGCGCGCAGAAGGCGACCTCCCAGGGCCAACAGCAGCAGCAGCGGCGGCAGCGGTGGCGACCGCGGACAGCGTGGCGGGGCGCGGGCCGGCATACTGCTTGTGATCCGGGCCCCGGGGCCCCCGCGCCATCCCTTTATGCTCGCGCCCCACCGCGCCGCCCACCCCGCGCCGGCGTGCCCACCCCCGCTTCCCGGGGGGCCGGGTTGGCAATAATTACCTGAGAGCCGGCGCCTGCCCCGCCTTGCAAAGGGCGGAGGGGGGAGACAAGGGCGCAAAGACCAGCAGTTGCCAGGGGAAGGGGAGCGACCGCCTGCAAGGGGCAGCAAGCTCCGCTCCCGGACGTCAGAGAAAAGGCACCTGTTCCTCGCTGCGCCTGGGAGCCACAGAGGATGTTTGGGCGACCTAAGTTCTCTGTGCGCTGCCTTCTCTTTCCCACCTCCTCGCGCTCCAGGAAGAATCCGAGGAGTGGGTGTTGGTCCGGGAGGTAAATGCAGCCAACCAACTTTCCCTGAGTCTGGCGCGGGGTCTTTGCCAGCCTCATGGGTCCGCCACCTGGAGGCACCAACTTTCTCTTTTCTACCCCTGGGAGGCCAAGAAAAGCTTTAGATTTACGTGACTAGAGCCAATTAGGAATTGGCTGAAGCCATATTGGGATGGCAAGGTGGGGAGACTTATGTCGGAACTTTGAATGTTGCAAGACAAGGAATGGAGGTGGACTTTCCTTAAAGCCTTTATGTGAGAACCAGGCACTTGCGCAGGGCCAATGGCTGTCCTCCAGGCCCCACTCTAGGAAGCCCTGGAGGAAGTCATAGGAGCTGTATGGTTGTCTTGGGACTCTCCTTTACTGTTATTTATTTATTTTAGTTGAAAAGTCATTCTTATTGAGGAATTTGGAGGGAAAGTCTCATAATAGTAAAAATACTAAAGTTGAATGTAAAAAATAACGCAATGGTGCTGCGCAGTGCCTGGCCAGGAGGCGGAGAGCGCAGGGACTGCCCCTCCAGGGCGCAGGCTGGGCGGCAGGAGAGAAGCTTCCAGGAGAAGGCGCTACCAGGGGAAGCGTCTGGGAGGGAGGAGAGAGTGGGGGTTCTTCTCTAAGGTTAGCCCCAAATGCACATGAACAGCATAATATACAGCGACGGGCTCAGCCTGCTCCTGCTCGGCCAGCCTCAGCCTAGCCCGCCTTGGGACTGCCACTTGGCCCCACGGAGAGAGAGGGGGCCGGGCCAGCATGCCACAACCGGGTTGCTTCTGGTGCCTCTGGCTGTGCAGGGAGAGGTGACAACATGGGACAGCTGGCGAGAGGGGCTGAGGGGGCACGGGCAGAGCCCACTGGACCCCCAATGGCAAGTGGCTGCAGAAGTCCTCAGCGTTTCCTATGCGAATCTCGTCCGAAGACCGAGGACACGTCTGGAGAACTGGGTGAAATAAATTAAGAAAAACCGCAGGACAACCTTCCTTCTGAGTGCGGACAGCTCTGCCCACAGCATGAAGGCCTTCCCTTGCGTGCTAGGAGGAGTGTGGTTCTCCAAACGCATCCAGAGAGCAATAAAGATCATCGCTGCAGGCTCCCTCCCGACCTACGGAGGTGGTGTCCAGTCTGTGGCACCCATGTGGGTCCACCAGCGCCGGGTTGGCCCTCCTCTCTGGCTGAGAAGAACTGTGGGAAGTGGGGCCTTGTCGTCTTGGAGTTAGCAGGGAACTTGTCTATGTAAAGTTTTGCTGGAGCCAGAGGTTCCTGGATCCCAAAATGTCTCTGAGCTGTGAAGGGAGAGAGAAGGAGGGATTTAACACAAGCATCCACTCCCTCTGCAACAAAATAGGATCAGGACATCTTTCCAGTTGCCAAAGGGGCCTTTGGACAGCTGTGGAGACACTTTGTCCATTTGAGTATGTGTGTATGTGAAGCCTGGTCTCCACCTTTGTGATCTTGGCCAGGACAAACTTTAGGATCCTCATCTATCAAATGGAGACAGCTGACTTGTTGGTCCTGCCACCTTAGAGGCTCGTGGAGCTCAAATGAAAAATGTGCACACAGATGATTCAAACATGAAGCATCCAGACAAGTGTAAGATCTTACTAATAAATACCTTTACCTCCCATTCCAGGACCTTGTGCCCCAGTCTCCACACACTGGCATTGTGTTGAATGATGAAGAACCTCACAGAGGTACATCCATCTTATCCATTGATCATCCCTGCGCTGTTTCATACACACTTAAAATCAATAAAGTCTTAAATATTACAGATTAAGGTACTTTTATTAATCCTCTTAAAATGAAAGCACAAGAAATGTATTTCAATATTGTATTAAATACTCCCAACTGCAACTAGCATATAGCATATATTTTCATAATTAGTAAGATTAAGCCATCAGACTGGAACAAGAATTATTGCCATTCTTACATGTGGCATTTCTATTTTTCAATAAACATAAAATAAAAAACAATGACACTTCAGCAATTAAAAAAATTACATCACTCAACTGCACAGTCACACTCTCTTCCAGCTAAATTAAAAAGCTTCTACTAGTATGTCTGCATGCAGGATCATATTTCCTTTCTAGAGCTGAAGATTGGAGTGTTTGCTGCTTTGTAGCTTGTTAAGTTTCTATTAAAAATGCTTCATGGGTTTCATGGAAAATAGCTTAGGCAAAGTGTTCACTTATTGATGTGTGGTCTGTTTGCTCAGGACATATTGTATCTATTGCTACTTTTATTTAACCAACAGTAAAAAAAAATTTTAAGGCTTTTTTAATTTTTATTTTTTAGAACAGTGATTTACAAAAAGGACTAAGTTGACTAAATTCTTCACATTTAAAGTTTATGCCTCCCTGTGGGTGTGGGGGAAGACATATATCCCCTAATGATTTCAGCATTGCAGAGATGTTCCAAGGTGATAGTTAATTTAATCCAATGATAAAGATTACATGATAATTAAACTTTCTTCCCAGAACTCCATGTTATCAAGGTTTTGTTGACAGTTATGTTCTAGATTCCTGAAGTGTGACTAACGGCGACTACTTACTCCTCATTTGTTCTGTTTTATTTTGGTTCTTACTTTTCACAGCCACCTTTGAACATCTAAAATGTGGCTTTTATTCAATGCTTTGTTCTCCCCCAAATAAGACTTTTAATACTTGTTGTGCTTTGAATATGAAGATAAAGTTCTTGATGCATTGAAGGAAAGGAAAATTTTAAATTTACTTACTGACTTTTGCCAGGGTGATGATTTTCAACAACCTAAACGTGGTCATCGAGCTGAAACATTTCTTCATCAATCCTTTCTGACCAGTTCTTCTCCTGTGTGTTCTTGGGACTCAGAGGCCTCCCTGGCCAAGGTAATAGAAGGAGGCTCACTGACCTACATAGGCCAAATTACATCTCCAACCTCACACCTCACCAGCCACAGACACTTGGCCTCACTGAGGAGTTACTGACATCATCACCAATACTGAGCAACAATCATGGGCAAAACCACCATGAGAAGCTTAAGACTTCAAAATATAGAAGACAACTGCTGCCCTCAAAGGCAATACTGGATTAGAGAACCAGGATAAAGGAAGTGACAATAAATAAATTGTTTGTGTTGCCCTAACCGGTTTGGCTCAGTGAATAGAGTGCCGGCCTGTGGACTGAAAGGTCCCAGGTTCAATTCCGGTCAAGGGCATGTACCTTGGTTTCGGGCACATCCCCAGTAGGAGGTGTGCAGGAGGCAGCTGATTGATATTTCTCTCTCATTGATGTTTCTAACTCTCTATCCCTCTCCCTTCCTCTCTGTAAAAAATCAATAAAACATATTTTAAAAAAAATAAGTTGTGTTGAGTATTAACAAATGACACACATGATAGGTGTTAGAGGAATTTAGGGGAAGGAGAAATTATCTCATTTTCAGCAGCTGGAAAAGTTTCACAGAGATGTGATAATATTTGATAATATCTGGGGTTTAAAAGAGTAAAACTTGCAAGGAGACCTGGAGGCAAAGATAATAGGGAAGCAAAATATGAAAGAAAAAATATTTGTAGCATATTTGTGGTAAAAATAAATATTTAATTAAAAATAAATCTATTTGTGCAAGGAAATAGTGAACTGAAAAGATAGGCAGGGGTCAGACCTTAAAGAGTATTTAATATTAAAGTTTTATCATTATATTACATCAGAGCCTCTACCTTTCTGTACTCCTTAAACAAATGTTTGTATTGTGCTGAGTGCTATTCTAGGCACTAGGAAGACAGCAGTTAACAAAAAAGGCCAACAACCCCTGCCCTTCTCTCATACCACTCTTCCACTCTACTCCTTTGCAGCCACAGTTGCCTCCTGGTTGTTCTTGAAACATGCCAAACTGGTTCCTGGCCTCAGGGCCTTTGACTGGCTCTTTGCTCTCTCTGGAATGTTCTTCACAGGACTGCCTATTTCTCCTCAGTCAGGTTTTAGAACAAAAGCCACATTCTGATGGCAGCATTTTTTTTACCTCTCCACTGAAAGCAGTTAGTCAATCAGTGTCAACTACAATGCCCTGCTTTATCTTTCTCACTGAGTTTGAGTATCTCAGATTATCTTTGTTTACTTATTTATTTTCTTTATCCCCAACTCAAAATATAAGCTCTATGAGAATAGGCATCTGGCTTTTTCTTTACAGTATCTCTAAGACAGGGGTCCTCACACTTTTTAAACAGGGGGCCAGTTCACTGTCCCTCATACAGTTGGAGGGCCGGACTATAGTTTAAAAAAAAAACTATGAAAAAATTCCTATGCACACTGCACATATCTTATTTTGAAGTAAAAAAACAAAACGGGAACAAATACAATATTTGTATTTGCATGTGGCCCGTGGGCCGTAGTTTGAGGACCCCTGCTCTAAGACCTTGAGAACTAGAACAGTGCTTGCACATTGCATGTATTCCATACATATTTGTGGAATGAATGAATGAATAAATGAATTGGTAAGAAATGGCCAAAGCACATTATTAAGAATATAACAAAAATAAAATTTAAAAATTGTTAAATTCTTGGAAGACAAGAAAATCTGTTAGGAACTAGTACAAAAAGTAAACCATTAGAAAATAAGAGAGAAAGGTTAAGGAAAATTCAGAA